CGGTGAGGTCAACTTACGGATAATTTCCACTCGCCTCTTCAAACGAAAGGAAAGGTACTCCAACATCAATCTATTAAGGGATTATTCTTAAAAATTTATTTTTTGTCATTAGCTGCCCAGAAGGCGACGGTAAAGTGGTGGAGATACGAAGATCAACTGGGTATTTCATATGGTATGAAAGTGTAGGTGAATTTCACCAGAAGAGGACGGCTAAATCCCGTTGTGCTGCAGTCGTTTGGCTTTCATACGACGTTCAGTGCTTTCTCTTGGGTCATTAAGCCTTGATGACCACAGCCCGACATTAGCCTATTGATCACTTTGATTTAGAACCGGTATTGAGTATGGAAGTTAACACACACACACACATACACACTCGAGCAAAAGTAGCAGGACCAGTATGAAAGATAATTAGCCAAACCACTCTGCATCTATCTAAATATGAAGACCAAGATGGTGTGGCCTTGTGTTTGTTCGCTTTATAGTGTTGGTTCGACCTTGTTTTCGCAACTTGGCTGGAACATCACGGAGATCACGTGGAGCGTACATACTCATGTGTCCTCTACCATAGTATTCGTCATATCCAGCATTGGACCATTGGCTTGGTACATTCCCAAACGCTTCGTAGTCGACGTTGTCAGTGAGAGGCACCATTGTGAGCACAGAATTACAACTTATCAGTTACAAGTCTGTGCTCACGGATGCGTCTCTCACTGAGGATGCCGACTACGATACCGGCGAAACAATTGGGCATGTAAACAGCCAATAGTCCAATACTGGATATCACGAATAGTCTGGCAGATGACACTGGACTAGGTACGTTGCATCAGGTATCAAACTTTCAACCATATTCAAGCTAAAGATTCAAAATGATTGACCAGCTCATCACTAAATGCTGTATAAATACTCTGTATTTGGGCATTTTAATGAGGCATAAATTCATTTGATTAGTTCAAGTCATATGACGACCTCGAAACATGAATGTGTCTGTCCCTGTATGTGTAAGTGCCTGCATGTGTTGGCATACATACGAAACCAGCAAGGATGACTCAAAGTAATTAAAACAGAAAAAGTAGAGTCTTTCATCAAGGTTTGATGAACACGATCTCCTCTCTCTAACGCCTTAACGATCACTCCGATTGCACAAGGTCGGACACACGTCTGGTTATGTTGATGAACTTTTCTGTCTCCATGTCAATGAGAAAGAAAGAGTGGGCTAAAAGTACAGGGAATTGACCATGATTAGAACCAAGGCAAAAAAAGAAAAGACTAGTTGAGTCGCCTTCTTTTCACATGCGACTCAACACGCTCTCTATCCTTGAGTGTATTAAGCACAGTTAGTTTTTTAGATGTTGTTTGACCTTGTTTTCGCAACATGGTCATAATGGTAGAAAGACTTAGAGTAACGCACCTTGTACTGAGTCCATTGTATGCATAATCATTTCCAAAGTCGGACCGTGGACGTGGTACATTCCCAGACGTTTCGCCCGCCTCGTAGTCGGCATCGTCAGTGAGTTTTACCATTCGTAGCACCATATTACGACTAGTCAAAAGAGAAAAGTGAAGCCGATCCTTTGACCAAACGTGTGCTAAACAATTATGGTATCTCCCCATCTGCCCTAGCCTATTCACATTTCCTATATCCTACTATCACACCTCCACTTCACAATTTTACTTGCATAATTAGATGTGGTAGTGTGTGCCCTTTTGAACGGCTTTCATAATAACCCTCAGCACTTCACACTGGCCTTCTCACCCCCCTTCATCCTTGTGCTGGAAATGTTGATCAGAGTCGGCCATATTGTTACGCAGTCCTCCTTCCCTAGGTCTTACCACAGTCTCTCTCTTGCCCTGTATGATCCGTCTACCCTCGCCCTGGTTCACATATTTCACTCAACCCCTGCCACCCCATCTTTGCCGCTCGAGGCGTTATTCGTCCTCCCCTGCGTCTTGGTGACTAATTCGAGGCTCAAGCCTGTGAGTAAGTGTCATGGTCAGGCCTTTGCTGCATGAACCACGTCTCTTATAGAACCTACTGTCAGTCCACTAGCTCCCATCGCCGCCTGGTCTATCCTGTTTCTATCTCTAATACCAATTCTATGACTTCCCATGCCCTAGTCTCTTGTGTGCCAACCCACAAACGTTGTGGTTCAACGTTAAACCTAGT